CCATCTATGGGGTCAGGAGAGGCTGCCGTCCACAGCGGGTGGGCTGGCGGGTTCTGCTCGGCTTCCAGGCCCCCCACCCCCACACCAGTTGGGAAGGGGCAGCGGTGCCCGTCTGGCTGCATGACAATGTTATTGTGAGCGCCCAGTGAGCTGTGACCGCTGCTGTGCATGCAAATGCAGGCCGTTCGTGGTGCGGCTGTAGGAAGACACACAGGCCCAACGCAGGGGCTTGTTTTCAAGGCAGGGTGCCCGTCCCACGAGTGAGAGCTCGACAGGCTCAGCGGTGCCAGATGGGCACCACTGCCCCTTCCCAACTGGTGTGGGTTCGATTCCGGTCAAGGGTATGTACCTTGGTTGCGGGCACATCCCCAGAAGGGGGTGTGCAAGAGGCAGCTGGTCGATGTTTCTCTCTCATTGACGTTTCTAGCTCTCTCTCTCTCTCTCCCTTCCTCTCTGTAAAAAATCAATAAAATATATATTATTAAAAAACAAACAAAACTGGCTTATATGTTTACCTCATCATACTCTTTGGTTCATCATGATTTCCTGTGTAAAACTTAACCTACATGGCTGCTTCGTTTCTCCCTCTCTCCCTCCCTCCCTCACCTGTGGCTCTACTGACTCAGCTGCTGACATGGGCGGGGCGTGGGTGTCCCTGTGGCCTGATGGGGACCGGCCCTGGAGCATGGCTGCCCTCCTGACCTGATGGTGGCCCAGACAGCCCCCCCCCCCCCCGCCTCCGTGGGCCAGGCACACTTTCTCTGCAGGACACGGGGGCCAGGAGGGACCTGGGCTGCTGCCCCGCCCTCAGCGGTCCCGCCTCCTGTGGGACACCTGGCAGCCTCCGTGGAAGCCGGGAGCCCGGTCAGAGGAGTCAGGTGCCCTAGGGCGGGAACAGCTCATGAACTCGTGTCTCACCTGAGCCACACCCACAGGGTTGATTCCAGCTGACTTATGGGCACAGAGCCCCAGGCCCTTCCCCCATTATCTCCTGCCCTGGGTGGGGCTCTCATGCCCAGCCCAAGGACAGCCAGAGGTTTGGTTGGGACAGGGTCCTGCCCCCGCCTGAAGCACAATTCATCAATGAAAATTCTGTGCCCTCCAGAGCTGGCCGGCCCATCCCCACAGAGGAAGCTCTTGATCAAGGAGGAGAAGGAGAGGGAGGAGGAGGAGGAGAAGAAGGGGGCAGAGGAGAAGATGGGGGAGAGGAGGAGGAAGGGGAGAATGAGGAGAAGGGAGGAGGAGGAGGAGGAGGGGAAGGAGGGGAAGAGAAGAAGGGAAAGAGGAGGAGAAGGAGGAGAGGAAAAGAGTAGGAGAAGGAGGAGGAAGAGGAGGAGGGGAAGAGAAGAAGGAGAAGAGGAGCAGAGGAGGAGGAGAAGGGGAGGAGGAAGAGAAGGAGGAGGAGGAGGAGAGTGGTGGTGACACGTACCTAGCATCCTAGCGCACCTACCCTTTTCCCACACACTGCATGCCCCTTCTCATTGTCCTTGCAGAGCTCCCCTCTCCCCCGCTCACCCCACTGGAATTGCTTGCATTTTGCACAGAATAGAATAGAATTCTATTCATGAGTCTCTTGTCTACAGCCAATAGCCAGCCCCAGACCTGGGCCCTCCAATTCACAATTCTTTCCGTGTCCTTGATTGTTGCCTGTTACCGCTGGTTTTTACTTGGTGCTTGATTGATGGTAGAGGGTAAGGGATTCCTAGATGAGTCCCACAGGGTTAGTCACCTGGCCAAGCACATAGCCAGGTGGGCGGGCCTGGCTGGCACCCCTCTCAGGCCCTGGCCCCACTCTGTGGCCGCCAACGTGGCCTCCTCCTTTGCTGCGGAGAGAATGCCAGGGCAGCTCTGGGAAACCCGGGGGCTCAGAGGGTCTTTTCCGACCTGGTTCTTGGGCCACCCAAGTGTCACTTCCTCTTTGAGGCCCTAAAGGCAGACAGGAAGGTCATTTGGGGAGTAATTTTAACTAAGAGTTTGTTGGGTTTTATTGTAATTCTCCCCACGGCTGTTGGCCCCTGCACTGGCCATGCAGAAGGTGCCTGATGCTTAAAGCCTATTGTCGGGCAACCCCCACGACCCCCCACATCTGTTCTGGGGTTCAAAGCCCAGAACCTTCCCAGAAATGACCATTCGCACAGCACTCACTCCCGGGGGGCAGGCCCAGGTCTCCCCGGGACGAGGGAAGCCACTCTGGGGCCAGGACACCAGCTGGCAGGGCCTTGAGGAAGCCCTGGGCCCAAAGTTCAGGAGCCGATTCACGAATGCTGACTCATGCCATGATCCTTCGCGATGGAGCGATTCCAGGACCATCTCCTCCCTGCACCCCCTGCCTGTGGGTCTCCTGAATATGGCGTCCCCCTCTGGGGGTCCTCTCTTGCTGTGAGGTCTCCCTCTCATTGTGGGGTCCCTTCTAATCATGAGTCTCTTGTCTACAACCAATAGCCAGCCCCAGATCTGGGCCCTCCGATTCACAATTCTTTCCGTGTCCTTGATTGTTGCCTGTTACCGCTGGTTTTTACTTGGTGCTTGATTGATGGTAGAGGGTAAGGGATTCCTAGATGAGTCCCGCCGAGAAGTAACGTTTATAAACAACCCGCCCACGCTGTGAGTCCTTTGAAACACAAGTGAAGGCTCTCTCACGGTCCCTGATCCCCAGATACTGACCCCACTGGCTCAGGCCCTTCCCCTCTGACATCCAATCCCAAATGACCCCACCGAGGACACATGACATTTAGATGGTGAGCCCTAACCGGTTTGGCTCGGTGGATAGAGCGTTGCCTGCGGACTAAAGGGTCCTAGGTTCAATTCCAGTCAAGGGCGTATATCTTGGTTGCGGGCACATACCCAGTGGGGAGTGTGCAGGAGGCAGCTGATCAATGTTCCTCTCTCATCGATGTTTCTAGCTCTCTATCCCTTTCCCTTCCTCTCTGTAATAATCAATAAAATTTTTAAATAAAATGTAGATGGTGACATGAACTCTCTTCCTTTCCCAATGGGTCTGCTCAGCCTCACAGGAAGTTTTTCTTTTTCAGATTTGGAGAGTGTATTGGGAGATGAGCAGAGAACCACATCAGTTATAAAAACCAAAGTCGGGTCTATGATGCAGGCCTGGGGACAGATGGAACGTTCCCGGACGTGTGGGGCACTGGACTCCTTTCTGCAAAGAGCCCAGCCTGTTCAGCTCCGAGGGCAGCGTGGGAAGTCCCTGTGGGCTCAGACGCCAAGTTCCCCGGGGCAGCTGAGCAGCGTCGGAGAACCCCACGCCCCTGGGTGATGGCAGTGCCGCCCTCCGGCCTGGGCCTCGCTCTGACCTGGCCCACTCCGACAGGGGTGCCTCCAGCCTCCGCAGTTGCTTCCAAGGCCTGGAGCCCCCTCCACAGACCACACCCCTGTCAGGGCAGGAGCGGCTGTATCTCTGAGGTCTGGACACACCAGCCCTTACCTGCCCCCTTCATGGCCAGGCCTGTCCCCTGAGATTTCTGCACATCACCCTCTACAATGCGGCCACACCCCTCCCACCTTCTTTTCAGAAAACGACTTTTTAAATTTCAATGTTTTACTTCTCAGTTACAGTTGATGTGCAATATTATCTTCATTTCAGGTGTGCAACCTAGTGATTAGACCTTTATGTAACTGACATAAGTCTCGTACCCACCTGGCACCATACAGAGTTGTCCCAGGATTATCGACCATATTCCCTACACTGTCCGTGACTGCTCTGTAATTACCCATTTGTACGGCTTAATCCCTGCACCTTCTTTCCCCACCCTCAACCCCCCTCCCCATCTGGCAACTGTCAAAATGTTCTCTAAATCTGAGTCTGCTTCTGGTTTGGTTTGTTTTTTAGATCCACGTCAGTGAAATCACATGACACTTGTCTTCCCGGGTCTGTCTGATCTCACTCAGCACAATACCTTTTAGGCCCATGCATGTGATTGCAGATGGTAAGATTTCATTCTTCTTTGTGGCTGAGTCATTCTATTGTATTTATGCACCACGTCTTTTTTAAAAATATATATTTTTATTGATGTCACAGAGGGAAAGAGAGATAGAAGCATCAATGATGAGAATTATCGATGGGCTGCCTTCTCTGCATGCCCATCAGGGATCGAGCCCACAATTGGGCATGAGCCCCTGACTGGAATCGAACCCAGGACCCTTCAGTCCGCAGGCCGGCCCTCTATCCACCGAGCCAAACCAGCTAGGACTGCACCCCGCACGTCTTTGTCCATTCATCTACTGACGGGCACTTGGGTTGCTTCCACGGCTTGGCTCCTGTAAATAATGCTGCAGTGAACATGTGGTTGTCTATGGCTTTTTCTTTAGGGTCTGGCTTCTTGGACGAATACCCAGACGTGGAACTGCTGGGTCTCTGCCTCTAGTTACAGCCGTTGTTTCAAAGTGTGTGTTGTCCAGCATGAGGATTGCTACCAGGGTCTTTGTTTCCGCTCTCACATCTTTTCCAGTCCCTTTGCTCTTAGTCTGTGTGTCTTGACCTGAAGTGAGTCTCTCACAGACAGAGTGTGTAAGGAGACTGTCTTATTACCCGTTCAGCCACAGCCTGTCTTCTGAGGGGAGCACTCACTCCATTTGCATTTAAGAACCACTGGATCCTCAGACCGGGGTCCGCCCTGCACACTGGGGAGCTGGCTGGCCCCACCCCCACCTCCTCACAGAAGTCCCTGGCTTGTCACTTCTCCCAGGACCAGTATGGGTTCGAGGAAAGCGTTAGCCGTCCCCAAGGAGACTCACCACTGGGCATCTGGGATACTGGAGACCAAGGGGAGGCCGTCCTGGTCAGGATGCAGCAGGGGGCCTGGTGTGGACTGGGATGGGGGGAGACTGACAGCCCTGATCTGGACCCTCCAGTGTGGACGGGGATGGGAGGCAGGGGCCCCCCTTGCCCTCCCTTCCCCCGCTCCCGAAAGTGGCCTCGGAGGGCAGGGACTCACCCTGAAGGACCGGCCTTCAGGGGGGAGACGTCTCTGTGAAGGGCCGTCTGTGTTTTTGGACTTGGAGCAGCGCCCCTGCCTTCTACACCCCGGAGGCCAGTAGCCATCCCCCAGTGAGACAACTGAAATGTCTCCAGACCTTGCCCAGCGTCCCCTGGGGGGGCAGAAACCCCCAGAGCGAGAGTCGATGGTGAGGCAGGGGCCCAGACCTGCAGTGAGGACCAGCAGAGCTGACCAAAGCCACGACACAGCTTATCTTGCCTTCTTTGCACCTGGGTCTGTGGGAGCAGGTGTCAAGCTCGGGCACTCAGCGGCCTACAGCACCGGCAGCACATGGCGACGGGGGTGGGGGGTGGACAGTGCGAGCCTGGAGGACTCGGACGTGTGCTGCGTCCCAAGGCCAGCCCGCCTTCCCTGGGCCCAGGTCAGCGGGGAGGGGCTGCCGGGCTGTGGCTGAGGGTTGTGGGGGCCAGCGGCGAGATGAGGAACCAGGGCACGGAGCCTGGGGAGCCCCAGGTCAGGGCCACAGATGCTGGGAGAAGGCTGAGGGGGGCCTCCCCTGCCGCCGCCTCCGAGAAGGAAACCAGCTTCCCTCCATGGCTGCCCCATCCTCGGGGACACCGGCCCCAGCACCCCCGGGCCCCTGGGCCTGGACGGAGGGCGGGCACCACACCCAGTGCTTTGCTCCAAATGCCAGTCTGTCCTCCCTTCGGCCAGGCTTCAGGGATGACCGTGTCTTCTAATGCTTTCTGTTAAAAGTCTGGCGGGCCTTGTCGCCCTCACGCAGGAGCCACACGAGGGCTTCTTGCCACAAGGACACACCAAGGATTTCTTGCGACAAGCGTGGAACTCGGCTTCCCCACGGAGTCCGGTCCTCACTTCCACTCCAAGTCCGGCTCAGCGGCCCCTCTGAGCCGCAGGGCCACGGGCGGACCTCAGGCCCCGTCTCCGGGGCTGTGCACACCGGGGTTACCTGGAGCCGCCTTCACAGAACGTCCCGGAAGCTTCAAACCGCCCGCTTCCCATCACCAGGGGGCTGTGGGCTCGGAGGAACCGGTGTGGGAGTTGAGGTCTCCATCAGCCCTGCAGGTCCTCAGGGGCGACCGGGCGAGAGGCCGCGGCCACAGCGCCAGGAGCTGCCCAGAACGAGCTCGGAGGACGTGACTGCGATCTGAAGGCAGCCGGAGACTGGGGAGCCCTCTTCGTGCCGCGCCCCACGCTCCAGGGCCGGCGGGCCCACGTCCGTGTCGCCGGCCGCGTGTCTCATCCCCCGGAGCACGGCTCTCCTGCCGCGGGCGCGGGCAGGGGGCCTGCAGCTTCCTTCTTCCCGCGGAGGGCAACGTGGCTTCTCACCCGAACACCGCGGTGTTTCTCCCGGTGAGGGGCCCAGAGGACAGCGATCCCGGGGTCTCCGTGTGGACCGTTCCCTGCACACAGGACACGCACACACGTGCACAGACGATCACGGGAGCCCCGCAAACACCCTCCGGAGGAGAGCGGGCGCCTCCCCTCTTCCGTCGCTCGGGTGTCTGTCCTCCGGTCCCTCTCAGAGCCCTCGCCCACGGACACGGACACGGACACCGGGAAGGGCTGGCGGCAGGGAGGGGCCGTGTCTGGCCACGAGGCTGGGCGCCGGCTCACGTGGGGTCAAGCGCGGTCTCTCCAGGGGAAGGGCCCCCGGGCCAGAGCGGCTGCGTGTCCGTGAAGCTCCTGGTGAAGGGTGCGACCGAGCCCCCCTCTGCCACCAGCCTGCCGGTGGCCAGCCGCCTTCGGAGGTCCCCCCGGGTGGCGTCTCCCGGAAGCCTTGTCCACCTCCTGGGTGGCGAGTTCTTGTCAGACGTGGTCTTGGGAGGAAGAGAAGGAGAGGGAGGTGAAGCACGCCGCCTGCAGGCAGCCCCCCGCTGTCTGGAGACGTGTCCCAGAGTTATCCCCCCCCCCGGCCTGCGGGCCCTGCTCCTCCTGCAGCCACAGCCCCCGGCGTGGCCCAGGCCCCCGGGCAGAGGATCAGGGCTCAGACAGGCGCAGGGATCTGCCTATGGTGTCAAGCCAGGGCTGGTCTGACTGCAAAGCTACGCACAGCCCGAGGCTGCTGCTGGGGACGAGGCTGGGGGTGAATATTGTCTCCGAATTGGGATGGGAGCCACATCGACCTTTGCCCCCGGGACTGTGGGGTGCTCGGTTCCCGGGGAAACACCAGTTCACTGTCCTATTAGGAAGGGCTCAGAGTCTGAATCCACTTAAGCCCGCCCTACCCCCTGTAGGGGTGGGTGGGAGGGTGGGGTATCTGCACAGAGGCGTTGAGAGAGGAGCATGGAGGCTGGGTGGAGGTGCGGGGCCCTCGTCCTACTCGCTCTGCCTGCCCTGTGTGTGCGGGGGAAACCCCATAACCCGTTGTCAGCTAGCGGCCCCTCCGGCAGCACCGTATGGGGCGGGGCCAGTGGAATGTGCCTTCACCGGGGGTTCCCTGTCTCTGAACACAGAGGCCCCTGTGCACGTCCGGGTCACCAGGTAACACTCGTGCCACGTGGCGAACGTGGAGGAAGCGGCTGCCCCGCCACCCGGGCCCACGGAACCTGCCCGCTTTCTCCCCCAGCCCCTGGCAAACTCACCGGTGAGCCCCAGCTCTGGCCTCGCAGCCCGGGCCCCTGTGGGAACAAAGCAGGAGTGCTCAGGGCAGGCTGTGGAGGGTGGGGAGGGGCCGGTCTGGAGACCCCCGTGGCTCAAGGGCTTGGGCCGAGGACAGACTCCCAGGGCCATCCCCGCCCAGGGCGGACGCTCTGGGGAGGGGGCGTGGGAAGCACATTGAGAGGTTCTGGGCCTGGACTCGGGGCGCCCTGTGCGGCCTGGCGGGCAGGCAGCTCGGCTCCCGCAGAAATGAACTCCATCCGGACCTCTGGATTCGGAGTCCGTCCTCTCCTCCCCCACCCCCCCAACCTGGGAGACGCGTCAGGCACGTGGGGCCTCAGACACGGGCTCCACATCCCCTGGGTGTGTGCTCGCTCAGGATGCTAACGCCACTAACACTGCACTTACAAGGAAACCACCTCCTTGCAGAGTTTGTAAACATCTTGAGAAAGGCCTAACACCGCTTCCCACCACATAAACAACGCCCACCGGCCGCACGCGCGCCCGCCTGGTACCTGCGTAGCCCCAGGGAGGACGGTGAGGACACCGGCTCCGGCACCACCAGCCTGCAGCCGCGCCCACGACCACCGTCAGCAGCAGCGCGATGGCGGCCACCACGGTGCTGGATTTTCCCGCCTCGGCTTCGCCTGGCACATCGGTGTTGCTCCCTGTGGATCCTGGGAATGGCTCTGCAAGAAACAGGAAGCTAGTCCGAGGCTTCAGGGCAGGGCTTTCCCTCCCAGGAGCCTCTCTGCTCCACCTACCGGGATGGGCCACGCCAGCCCTGGGTGGTGGCAGGGGGCACGGGTTCTTTCTGGCTCTTTACATTTAACGTCATTTTCTCTTTGTCTAGCTGTATTGCTGACTTTAAAAATAAAATCCAAGCTGAAACCGGTTTGGCTCAGTGGATAGAGCGTCGGTCTGCGGACTGTAAGGTCCCAGGTTCGATTCCGGTCAAGGGCATGTACCTTGGTTGCAGGCACATTCCCGGGAGGGGGTGTACAGTAGGCAGCTGGTCGATGTTTCTCTCTCATCGACATATCTAGCTCTCCATCCCTCTTCCTTCCTCTCTGTAGATAATCAATAAAATATATATATATTTTTTTAAAAAATAAATAATAAAATAAATAAAATCCAAGTGGTCCTTTTCCTTCCAGGCTGCTTAAAGATAAACCTTCATCAAGAACGACACGGGAACCACCCGGACAAGGGAGTTCACAGCCAACAGACCACTTCAGCGGAAGCAGACGGTCATGGATGCCCTTCCCCCTGGGAAGGCAGCAGTACCCAAGGCAAAAATTCAGGGGAAACTAGCCAACATGTACAGACCACACCTGATGCCATCTTTGTGTCTGGATTCAGAACCCCCTTTGGTGCAAGACCACGGACTTTAGCATGATTTGATTCCCTGGCTGACGCACAGAAAAAGGAACCCAAACACAGACTAGCAAGGCATGGCTGAGACGAGAAGAAGAAGGCTTTGCCCCCACAGTAGGTCAGGGCCAGCCTGTGACTCCTGCAAGCTCCCGGGGCCGCGTCAGAGGCCCTGTGCTTGGGGCAGTGCTGTGTCCCCATCGAGATTCTTGTCCCGAACAAGGAGCCTGGTGCCTCCCACTGTGCACAGAGCCCCCAGTCCTGCAGCGGCAAGGCCCACAGGCGCACCTCCTCTCTCATCTCAGCACGGTGATGGGGACACAGATGGAGAGAGCCCGTGGCCTCTGCGAAGGAGTCACCTTCCTCGTGTCCCTTCCTCGGCAGGCCTCAGGCCAGCACAGGCCCAGCTGGACCCCTAGCGTGGGGGGAAGAGGGCAATCTTCTCAGAGGGCACACACCCAAAAGCAAAAAGCTTGGTGGGGGCAGCACAGGTGTGCGCCTCAATCCTGACGCCATTGCTGCCCAGCTCTGGTGCTTCCGATCTGTGGCACAGCCGCTCAGAGCCTCAGTCCCTCCCCTGTGAAATGGGTCGCCACACCGGCCCCATGAATGAAGATGGAGCCAAGCAGGGTGCATGGAGCACCCAGCCCCGGGCCCATGGCCACTCACCTGACTCTCCCCTCCTCTCCCGTATCCAGCCACCTTTCCTTGCGATGCTGCTGCGGGCCCCCTCGGAGGGGCTTCGTCCTCTGAGAGGGTCTCCCACCTCCCGGGGCCCAGACCGTGGCGGGGGCAGGCCTGCAGGTCCTTACCGCTCGCCTTCTGGCTGCTGACGGTCAGGTTCTGGTGCAGCAGCACGTTCTCGATGCAGCAGCCCACGTTGACGTGGGGCGTGCGCCGGATGGTCAGGACGCTGACCACGTCGTACAGGCCCCGCGCGTTGAGGGAGACGGTGCTGTTCTGCAGGCCCTCGTCCAGCAGGCTGTTGTCCGTCCTGTTGATCCAGTACACGTTGGGCCGGGGGTAGCCGTCCGTGGACGTGCAGGTGAAGGTGAGCTCCTCGTCCTGGGGGGCGGCCGTGGGCGCGCTGACCACGGGCATGCTGTAGTTGGCTGCAGGGGGAGAAACGGAGGTGAGGGGGGCCAGGTTGGGAAGGTCAGACATGGAGGGGTACCCAGCGCTCAGGGGCCCAGGGCCAGGTGAGAGAGGAGGTGGCTTGTTGTGCCCCTGAAGAGAGAGAGACAGGACCAGGGCTCTGGTCTGGGCGGCGGGCACTGGCCCTGCTCTGCCCTAGAGTCACTCCTCCGACTCCGACAGGGGAGTCACTGAGCCTGAGGACAGGGACCGGTCATTTGCATCCAGTGTCACGGAGAGCTTGCTGTCACAGCCCATCTCTGAACTGGCCGTGCCCTGAGCATCTTGATTGACTTTCATTTTCTTCCTAAATTCTGAACTCCAAACGGCCCTATAGCACTCCTTCCTAATTTCATTTTAAAAATCTATTTTGAGCCCTGCCCGGTTTGGCTCAGTGGGTAGAGCGTCAGCCTGAAGGGTCCCAGGTTTGATTCAGGTCAGGGGCACCTGCCTGGGTTTTGGGCTCGGACCCCAGTAGGTGGTGTGAGGGAGGCAGCTGATCAATGATCCTCTCTCATCATTGATGTTTCTATCTCTCTCTCCCTCTCTCTCCCTCTCTGAAATAAATATATATTTTAATCTAGTTTGAGTTGAGACAGCAAGATTAGGAGTATCTCTGTGAAACCAAGGAGCCTCAGGTTGTGAAAACTTTCTTACGAGTTGATGTTTCAACCAGCTCAGCGTCATGCACAGTTAAGCAGAAGGCTGCTCATTGAGACTGGGATTTTTCCACAGGAAGAATCAGGTGAAGGAGCCAGAAAACGGGTCTCCTTAATGCTCTCTCCAGGCCAGGGGCCGGGATGAAGTCAGCTGTCAGCCCCGACACCCTTACCTGCCACGTGCAACATGACCTCCACTTTCAGAATCTTCTCTGTCATCTTCCTGAACACCAGGCAGTCATACTTCTGCTCGTCCTGGGGGGTGATGTTGTACAGATGCAGAGAGAAGTTGCCCTGCTTCATGCTGTCCAGGGACATCTGGGCCCGGTCCTTGTACCTGTTGTTGTGATGGCCCACGGAGGTGTTCCCCGGCAGGTAGTAAGCCACGGTTTCTAGCATGCTGTTGGTATCCTTGATTTGCCAATAAACATAGAGTTCGTTTAAATCAAAACTAGTTTCTTCGGTGTGAATGCAGCTGAGCTCAGCGTCACTGCCCACCATCGCTCTGACTTCTTTCTCTTGACCATCTGCAGTGATTCAGAAAGTACATTTATGTTTTGAGGTTGAGTCTTACTCAACCTGCGAAGTTACTCTGAGGGATGGGAGGGGGAAGAAGGAGGGAACTCTCTCAAACACCAATTCTGACTCATTTCAGTAGAAAAGGAACGTATTCATAAGATACACACAGGAATGCGATAATTTAGAATTCCGGAATTGGATGTGCTGTCTCACGTGGACTTCCTGTCAGGATGGGAGAGGCCAGTGTTGGGACAAGTAGGGGTGGCCCCTGGGACCAGGCTGCACGCTGTCTGCTCCTTCTTGGGAGTTTATAATTCATTCCACTGAAAAGGGTTTTGTAAAAATTTAGACATTTAATAGAAAACATCAGCTTCTCAACAACAGACTTATAATGCACTGTGTGCCAAGGCAGGCCACGTGACACGGGCAGACTGGATCTCCCGTCCGTACAGAGGGCTGCAGGACAGTGGCCGAGCTCTGCCCTCCCTCGCTCTGAGCTGGGCGCATCCCTGTTCCTTGCTCCCAGTTCATCTGGAAAGCAGAGGCCTGAAGCTTGCGGGAGGAAGTGTGTTCCATCTACACCCAACGAACACACGATAACACAAGAGCTACAGGGTCTAGACAAGCGACCTCTTGGTGGCTTTCCATCCCACACGCTGGGGGCCCGGCGACCTCCCAGGAGTCCCCGGAAAGACAAGAAGGGCTGTGGCAGGGCCCCCGCTGACCCCTGTGCCCCGGGGTCTCCCTCTTCACACTGAAGGGCCGGCAACTGGCCTAGGGACCAGGGGGCTGTTGGACTCACCGGCTTGCAGGCCGCTGAGCAGCAGGAGGAGCAGGCCAGCACTGGAAAGGAACCAGAAAGGCAGTGAGTCCCCCTTCTTCAAGAGGCGAGGGCTCCTCACGGGCAGGAGCGGGTCACACCCATCGCGGAAAAGTGAACGCGCCCGTCAGCCAGGCCCCTGCAGCAGGGGGCGCCCACCCCCCTGCCCAGCCCAGCAAGGCCCGAGGGGCCGGCATCCCTGCAAGCTCCCGTGTTAATCCCCCAACACAAGGATGAACGTGCGGTAAGTGAGAGACACTCCCCAGGCATAGCTTTGGACACCCTGGTGGCCCAGCCATAGAGGAACAGATTCCAAGAAATTGTATGGAATCAGGAAAACAAAACAAAACAAAACAAAAACAAAACACGTCCACAGTGCCCATGGCAGGAGCTGCGTTTAATTTGGGGGAGAAAGAGCAGGTCTGAGATGCCCAGTGGCCGTGGGGGAGCGGCAGGACAGCCCTCTGAGGAAGGAACTCATTCTGAAACCAATTGGGAGGCTCCTCCGGCCGGTGGGCAGCTGGGCTGCGGGGGTGAGAACTTCCCAACTTCCAGGCTCCTGGTGCCCTCAACCCAGCCACCCACTCCTACCACCTCCCAGGATGCTGTGCGCCCCGAGCTCTGGGCAGAGACCCCTGGCAGCTGTCATCTGACTCTGTCTAGACCAGTGGTTCTCCACCTTCCTAATGCCGTGGCCCTTTAATACAGTTCCTCATGTGGTGGTGACCCCCAACCATGAGATGATTTTCGCTGCTACCTCATAACTGTAATTTTGTTACTGTTAATGAATTGTAATGTAAATATCTGTGTTTTCCGATGGTCTTAGGCTCTACCGCTAGCAGGGTCACCGCTAGCAGGGTCTTAGGCTCTGCTAAGACCTAAGGGTCCTAATCTAACCCAGAGGTTGAGAACCACTAACAGCGTCACCTAAGACCATCGGAAAACACAGATAGTTACATTACGATTCATTTACAGTAGCAAAATTACAGTTGTGAAGTAGCACCGAACATAATTTTATGTTGGGGGTCACCACAACACGAGGAACTGTATTAAAGGGTCATGGCATTACAAAGGTGGAGAACATGCCGAAACCGGTTTGGCTCAGTGGATAGAGCTTCAGCCTGTGGACTGAAGGGTCCCAGGTTCGATTCCGGTCAAGGGCATGTACCTTGGTTGCAGGCACATCCCCAGCAGGGGGTATGCAAGAGGCAGCTAATAGATGTTTCTCTTATCGGTGTTTCTAACTCTCTATCCCTCTCTCTTCCTCTCTGTAAAAAATCAATAAAATATATTAAAAAGAAAAAAAGGAAAGGTGGAGAACCACTGGTCTAAAGGCATGTCCCTTGCCACCAGGGGCTCCCCATACCCCACGGAGGCCACAGCCTGCAGGTGGGGCTGTCCTCTCTCAAAGTCCCTGTTGGGGCCGCCATTCCCGTTTGTGGGGAGAGCGGTGATGACCACCTCCAGTCTTGACCCCTCCAGCCATCTTCCCCTGAGCCAGAGCAGCCTTCTAAAATACAAGGCTACGCAGACGCCTCTGTGGACCCCATTTCTCTCCCACGGAGCCCGCCTATGGGTGCTCAGGAGGCCCGCCCTGTCTGTGCACAGGGTCCAAGGCACACGCGTGCACCTGTCAGGGCCCCTTCGGAGCCTCTTCTGGGGGTACAGAGAGCCCTGTCCTGGGTGCTGCCTGCATGCGGGGCTCTCTGTACCTCTCCCTGATGGTCCTCTGGTCAGACACTACACGGCCCCTCCCTTCCCGCACCCCCGACACCACTCTGCCTCCGGCTCCAGCCCACCCTCCTTGAGTCAGACAGACAGGGGCACCTTCCCAGGTGAGGGCGGCTGTTGGCTGAGACGGTCTAGCACATTTTTTTCTTCTCTTTTGAGCAAACAGAACACCATAGAACTTCCCACATGTCTGAGTGGGGAGGCTGGGCTGCGGGACCCTCCGGTGTGGGCAGGCTTTTGGGCTGTGTGGCTGGAAACCTGGGCACCAGGTGCCTCACCAGTTGATCCGGGGAGTCAAAGGCTGGACACACCCTGACGGTGGTGTTAGGCAAAGCTGCCCATCCCCGGGGCTGGCAGGAGGCCTGGGTGATTGGCAGGAGACCTGGGTGATGGGTTGGGCCCAGCAGGCCCACCTTCCCAGTCTGGCTCCGTGGACAGGGGAGGGGAATCCCTGGGCTGTGGCAGTCAGGGCGGCACGGGGGGTGGGTGGGGGAGGAGTGGGGGGGCCTTGAGGTATCACATCCTTCATTCTCCAGCCCTGACAGTCCTCGGGGCCAGGAGGGGAGGAAGAAGGAGTAAGGGAGGGAGGGGGGTGTGTGAGCACTTTTCCTTCCCTTCCCAGGACCCGCCTCCTAGCACACCCACACACCCACACACCCACTCACCCATACACCCACACACCCACACACCCACACACAGCGTGGGTCCCCACACACTGTCCTCCGACCCCACGCACTGCCCTCGATCCCCACGCACTGCCGTCAGCCCCACGCCACCGTTTGGCGGATGCCACGGACTAGCAGGTAACCGCACCCCGGACCTGCCCGCGGCCGCCCTGCCCGGGGCCGCCCTGCCCCGTGCCGCCGGCTCCGGGCCGCCCTCCCTCCGCCCGATGAGCGCGTCCCGGCCGGGCGCCCCGGTCGTCCCTCCTGGGCACCAGCTCTCTACGGCGGCGCCTCCGCTTCTTCCCCGGCTCCCCGGGGCCCGGCGCTGGCCGCTCACCTTCTGAGCTTCATGGTGGAGGCGGAGACCTCGGGGCGCGGGAGACCTCGGGGCGCGGGAGACCTCGGGGCGCGGGAGACCTCGGGGCGCGGAGACCTCGGGGCGCGGGAGACCTCGGGGCGCAGGGACCTCGCGCCGCCTCCGCCGAGCCGAGCTCTCACTGCGCTGCGCGCCCGCCGCCTGGACACCAGCTTCTGAGAAACCGGGCAGCGGACTGGGGCCCGGCCGGCCCGCCCCGCCCATGACCCCGCCCCCCGCCCACGGCCCCGCCCCCGCAGCCCGCCTTAGGCGGAGCTCCCCAGAACGGAAGCTCGGCCACCAGGCTCCAGGCGGTTCAGGTGGCCCGGCGGGTGGGAGCCAGGCACGGGTGTGGTGCTGCAGGTGCCGGGGAAGGTCGGGGGAGTGTGGCACCAGGAGCGGCCGTGGGCGCTGAGGAAGGGCTTGCCCGTTCGGAAGGGCCTTGGAAGGCTAAGTGCTGCCCCCCAGAGTCGCGCAGACGGCCCCTTGGGCCAAGGGTCCCTGCCCCAGGCTCCCTCCCTCCCCCCTCCTCTCTCTCTCCCTCCCTCCCGCCCTCTCTCCCTCTATCGGTACCTGCAGCTCTCAGGTGAAGTGAGCTCCACATCTGGAATGGAAGGATGGAAGGATGGATGGATGGATGGATGGAAGGAAGGAAAGAAGGAAGGAAGGAAGGAAGGAAGGAAGGAAGGAAGGAAGGAAGGAAGGAAGGAAGGAAGGATAGATGGATGGGAGGAAGGATGGATGGAAGGAAGGATGGAAGGATGGATGGATGGAAGGATGGATGGAAGGAAGGGATGGATGGATGGATGGAAGGATGGATGGATGGATGGAAGGATGGATGGAAGGAAGGGATGGATGGATGAATGGAAGGATGGATGGATGAATAGAAGGATGGAAGGATGGATGGATGGATGGAAGGATGGATGGATGGATGAATGGAAGGATGGATGGAAGGATGGATGGATGGATAGAAGGAAGGATGGAGGGATGGATGGATGGATGGAAGGATGGATGGAAGGATGGATGATGGATGAATGGAAGGATGGATGGATGAATAGAAGGAAGGATGGAAGGATGGATGGATGGATGGAAGGATGGATGGATGGATGGATGAATGGAAGGATGGATGGATGGATGGATGGAAGGATGGATGGATGGATAGAAGGAAGGATGGAGGGATGGATGGATGGATGGATGGATGGATAGATGGATGGATGGATGGATGGATGGATGGAAGGCCGCAGGCTCTACTGTCCAGCCCAGCCCTGGGTGTACCCCTCCTGTCCCCCAGCTTTGCTCTCCGACCCTGCGGCCTCCTGGGCCACGTGCCACAACCTGTTTGCCCATTGAAGGCTCTGGGAGGCCCCGCGTGGAAACCATGTCATCTTTGCTCCCCCACGTGGGTGAGACCCGGCCCTCTGGGTTTTTGCTCCATTCCCCACCCAGCCCTCTGGGGCCCCTGGGCCAGTGCCCCCCACTCCCACCCTCATGGGCCAGGTGCCACTGAGGTGAGGGAGGTGGGGCCACGAGAGAACAGGGTGCCCCCAGGAAGGGCCTGGGATCCAAGGCACCCAGCGCAGGTCTGGGAGCAGGCCGGAGGGATGTGTCTGGCCTCCCAGGCTGCTTCAGAGGCAAAGGCCCGCCTGGGGGGCAGGGGGGTAGGAGAGGCCAGGGGTAAGGTGAGGGCAGAGCCAAGCTTCTGCACGTTGTCACTCATCAACCAAGATTCCGGGCACAACTGCCGGGAGGTGGGACCGGGCTGCGGGAGACAGGCCTGGACAAGAGGGCTGGCTGCCAGGAGGGAGTGGGCTGGCGGTTCTCAAACCAGGGATCCCCCCCCAAGATCCCCCCCAAGCCCCCCCCCCACCTCCCCCACTGGGTGAGGCTGGGAGATTGGTGTGGAGGATTTAAAGAGACCAAGGGGGCCACCCCGCCTCTTAGCGGTAGAGGAGAATGAGGGGGGGGGGGGTCAGGAAGGGCAGATACCATCTGAACTGGGGGAGGGGAGGATATAAGATATAAGATTTGGCTTGGAGAGCAGGGCGTGGGCACACATCCGATGGCGGGGGTGGGGGGTGTATCGGACTCACCCCATTCCTGGAGCCAGAGAACCGATCTGTCCAGGCCCGCAGCTGGAACAAATGCAGGCGAGGGAGAGGGACGGGGAACCCCTCATCCGTCCCCGTGGAGCTGGAGGGGACCTGACCTGTGTGGCCTTGGTTCTCTCCCCAGGGGTTAGCAGCAGCTGGCAGAGGAAGACAGAGTTTAGGAAGGGCCAGCCTCAAGTTCTCCCACAGGTGGGGCAGGAGGGCGGGGCTGGCTGCACCTCCCCTCCCCCACCTGGCCGCTATCTGCCCCGCCCTCAACCCCGGGAAGCTTTCCGATTGGCTGGGCTTCACGGGCAGGCTGTGGCTTCGCCTCCCGCTCCCACACGAATTCCTACTTCGCCCTCAGGATGCTGAGCTGGAAGCAAGCGGTGGACCCCATATGCAATCTCTGGGGCTGTTGAAAGGGAGCGGGTCTTGGGGAACAGAGAACTCCCCTGTGGAGCTAAGAAGGGAAAGTGTACCCATTGCAGCCTGGGCACTGCCCCAAGGCTTAGGCGCCCACAAGGCAGAGCTGGCAGGAGCTGAGGCTGGTGAGGGAGGAGCCGAGCTCTGCTTCCTGGGCAGCCCCACACCCAGAAGGCCAGGAGCACAGGAGTGCAGCTGGGCTGGAAGGACATCAAAGGGGGACTGGGCCACGGAGGGAGGGGCACCCCCAGGAGCGGGACCAGGACCCCCCACCTGGGAAGTGCATACTGGCTTCCTCTCCCAGCTCTGCAATTCAGGAGCTGTGACTTCAGAAAGTCACATGACCCTCTGTGCCTGCATTTTCTCTTTGTGAAGTGGGGTATCATAAGCTATTCCTCAGAAAGCAGCCGAGTTAATGCGTGGATTAGTTTTGAGACCAATAAGGGAAAGACCACTGTGTGTGTGTGGGGGGGGGGGGGGGGGGGAGTCGGCCTGGAGGAACATCTGGGCAGACCTAGGACCCAGTAGGAGTTGTATTCATGCCAGGGACTTGAAGCTCTGGGTGTAGGTGGGGAAGTCAAAAGGGGTCACTTTCAGCCAAACTCAGAGGGTCCCAGGAGGGGGCTCTGTGGATGGGTTTAAATAGCCAGAGGCGGTCTCCAGGTGTCTGTGAGCGAGCTGAGAGCATCAAGCTGTTTCGAGTGGCTCTGGGCCTTCTTGGGAGCGCTCTGATAGTATGTGGACAGGAGTTAGGTTGGACCCTGTGACCTCAGTCACTGGAGCGGAAGCAGCCTGGAGTCAGCCCTCCTGGGCTCAGCCATGGCCACCCTCTGTTGCTGTCACAAGCTTGGATCCAGAGCGTGGCCCCCAGGAAAGTCTTACCTGTGCCTGGATGCTCCTGTCTCCTCATCCCTTGTGTTTCTGGGGCTGCTGTCCCCTTGGTTTCTTTCTTTAATATATTTTATTGATTTTTTACAAAGAGGAAGGGAGAGAGAGAGCTAGAAACATCAATGAGAAACATCCACCAGCTGCCTCTTGCACACCCCCTACCGGGGATGTGCCCGCAACCAATGTACATGCCCTTGACCGGAATCGAACCTGGGACCTTTCAGTCCGCAGACTGACGCTCTACCACTGAGCCAAACCGGTTTCCGCATGTCCCCTTGGTTTCATTGCAAGTCTTACTAGGACCTGCCTCAGAGCCGAGGAGTGGTGTCCTCCTGTCCACTGCTGAGAGGTTCACGTTGATCAATGAAGATGTCTGTAGCTGAGGCCCTGGGTTCTCCAGAGAAACAAAACCAAAGGACTATATCTAAATTCTCTCTAAAGGAATATATGTATTCCTGTTAGAATACATATATTTATACATATATATGTATAAATTCTAACAGGACTATATATATATTTATTTATTTATTTTTTTCCTAACAAATATATATTCTCTCTCTCTCTCCTACTTTTCCTATTCTTCCCCTGGCTTCCCTGAATTTCCTCTCCTCCTCCTCAGAGGCCAGATTCCCTCTTGACCTCAGGCAGAGCTGTCTGCACCTTGAGTGCGTGGCATACAGAAACACCAGCTCTCCGGCTCCTACTCCCAAGCCTTTGGCTTCTCAAAATATTTTCCCAAATAAGGACTGCTTCCTGCCTAAGAATTCTACCACCCGCAAAAAAAGAGATCAGAACATTTCCCGCTTTTATCGTGCCTGTGCTGGCGACAATGTTAGCATCATGCCTGTGCTGGCGACATGCCTGGGTTAGACGTGTTCCAGAGACCCTCCAGGAGAGAAATGTTTTTGACAAACCAGGAAGATATCAAGAGCAAGAACTCGCTAAAGCAGGAAAGTTTCAAAAAAATCCTATTGTTTAGGAAATAATCTAGTAAAGAGCTCCTAAATGAAAGGAAAAGGAGGGACAGGAAGAGGGAAAAAGGCTTCATCCCCAGGGGCCTTAGGGAGCATTTGGATCCTCCCCTTGGAATCATGACAGAGAATTAGTTCCACGAACACCAAAGACACGTTGTAATTGGAGCACACAGGTGGCGTGCGGAACTCCCAGGTCAGCTTTGGTTCCTTCAGTGGCTTGGACGGGGCAGTGTGTCGGTCCCATCAGGCTGCTAGAACAGTACCACACACGGGGCGCTGGGAGCTGGAAGTGGGGGGTCAGGGTGCCAGCAATCAGGTAAAAGCCCTTTTTTGTGGGTCCTCATATGGTGGAAGGGGCAGGACGCTCGCTGATGCCTTTGATTCGGGCAGTTATCTCATTTTTGAGTCAGCTCCAAAGACCTCACCACCTCACTCCTTCATGTTGGGGTTAGGATCTCAACATATGAATGTGGTATGGGAACCCACACACTCAGACCACAGCACCCACCCACCTATCTCATCCAAGTTGAAAGAAAATTAACCATGAAACAGCTAATCTTAACGATGTACATGTGTTTTTAAAGTCCTCAACAGAAGGTCCAGTTCTAGCCCAACCTTTCTTCCACAAAATGTCTTCATCCCACTAACGGTACCAAGCCCCGGCCAGCATGCCCACCCAGGACAAGCCGAGTGGTTAATGACCTCAGCTTTGGGCCCTTTGGGGGGCTCCTGGCTAAACTGGGAAAATCCCTTTAGGATTCACCACAGATTCGAATCCAGCTTGAACCAGCGCTCTACAAGGGTCTCCCCTCCCTGGAGCCCAGCAAGACCGGGAGGGCATGGCGTACCGGTCTCCACCTGGTGCTGCCCCCTCATCCCTTCTCTCTCTGCTCACCACGCTCGGAATTCTGCACTTTGCTGAGGTCGGGGCTGCTGTGTGGCTGTCAGGGGGGTGAGTGGTCACGTGACAGCATCACTCCTGCACCTGGGAGCCCTGCACCAGCCTCCTGGGAAACGTGTCCTGCCCCCCTTTCTCACCCCAGCCCCGTGTCCTACAGCATCAAGGCCGCGCATGTACATCAAAACACCGCAAATGACCACCAACCCCGTAATAAGCGTAGTTTTAATTCCACAAACAGCACACACGAACACTTGCAGCAGCACACAGGGCTTGAACACCCGGATGCTGTCCCTGGTGAGATGCCAGGCACTCCGCCCCCTCCCTTCTGAGGAGCTGGGGGGCGGGGAGGGGGGGAGGAGGAGGGGGAAGGGCCGTGGCTACATCTCAAAGACCCAAAAGGCATAGGGGTCTGAGGTCACCATGAAAATCCAAAGTCAAGCAAATAAAATAATCATTTGAAAGAGGGAAATGGGGACAATATCAGGAAAGTTATCTTAATTCTAAGAAAAGTCTTTTTTTTTTTTTTTTTTTTTCGCGGTATAATGACTCACTTATAAAGAGGAAGTTAGTTCGGTTGAAAATACTTGAAATATTCTCTCAGGGGGAGGAAGCACTTCTTCACCAGCGAGGCCAGCCCCGCGGCAGCCAGGGCCCGTGCTCTCTGCTTGTCTTGAGCCAGCTGGGACAGCTCCTCCCAGGTCACCCCGGCCGAATGCCTGCTGCGGGGAGAGGGCAGCCCTCACCCACCGTCCACGCCTCCCCGGGCAGGGGAGGGGCGGGGGCTGGCCAGTGCCAGTCTCTCTCTCACATAAACACCCCGTCCCGCGTGCATGTCCCCCCCACCCCTCCCGCCTCCCCCGTCCTGTGAGAAGCTGGTGAAAGGCAGAGGGTCCCCAAGGACAGACCTTGGCCCCTCTGGGGAGTCCCCTTTCAGTGAGAAGCAGCATCATGGAGACCCCAGAGAGGAATGTCATTCTCAAGGGGTTCTAATCTGCCCCAAACAGGGAGACCTGAGCAGGTCCCAAGGTCCTGGGGCAGCCTGAGCTGCAGACCTTGCATGGGGGGCAGGTGGGTGGGGAGAGCACAGGACCCCAGCTTGCAATGTGATGCAACCCATGGGACTCGGGCTCGGTGAACATGGCACCCAGCACGTGTAGTCTCATGCTCCCAGGCTCCCCCTGCAGCCAGACACACTCCTTGGTTCCCGTTGGAAGGCCAAGTATGAGGCTCCAGCACCAGAAACATGCAGGGCTTCTCCTGGCAACCGCCCTCCCCCATCTTCACACACCCCAGGCAGCTTGGCTGGCAGAGGGTGGCATGGCCGCTCAGTCTGCTTTCTGGAAGGGGCCCCTCCTTGCTGTCAGGATAGCGGGAGCCTGAGGGGACCGGCCCTTCAGAACCGGGCTCCCAGCCTGTTTCCATGAACCCCGTGGGCAGGGCGCCAGCTGCTGGGCAGGGCAGGGGGAACAGGGTAAACACCACCCACAGGACGGCCGTCCAGGCTTCAGGGAGAACACTTCCCGGAAAGCCGCCTCACGTTAGCCGCACCTAAAGCCGGTCCTGGATGTGGGCCTGGCGAGGGGAGCACCTGGGACCGGGGTGCGTGGGAAAGGCCCCAGCAGCCACTGTGAGGAGGAGGAGGGAGGACTGGGCTGACCCTGGGATGCATCAGTGTGGCTCACATGGGCTGCCCAGGGCAGGACCGTGTGGATGAATCGGAGCGAGGGCAGGTGTCTGGGAGCAGGCTGCCCAGGAGCAGGCTGACACAGGGCCCCGGGGGAGGGGGGGGGGGAGGAGGTGGAGCAGAGAATGTTCACAGCAGGAATAGTCAGGAGAGTGTCTGGTGGGTGCGGAGGGGTGTAGGTGAGCTTGTGTGACTGTGATTATGTGTCCATGAGTGGGGAGTGAGTGAGCGGGGCTGAGGGTGTGAGTGTCCGGTGTGGAGGGGGGGCTGTGCTGCTGAAGGCTGGGGAGGGGTACCAGGCCTGGATGCGTGTGGCCATGTGGTCAGGGGTGTGGACTTCCTTCTCTGGATGCAGGGAAGCCCTGCAAAGTCCTGGGGTGAGAACCTCAGGAGCCCTAGTGCTACAGCTTTTGGGCAGAAGGTCCACAAAGTGGAAGGGGTGTCCCCGACCTTGAGCATGCCCAGAGTTTTTGGGGTTGCCTCAGAGACCCATCCCCCCTGGGCAGAGAGGGTGCTGGGCATGGCTGGCTCCCTGTGCCCTCAGACTCCCGTCTCCTAGATGGCCAGCATCCCTCCTCCCGCCCAGAGGGCTCCAGTGCACAGGACATACCTCCTCACGCCCGGGATGTTGCTCCACACGTGCACGGCGTTCCGGATGGCCCTGCCGCAGGAGTCCAGGATGGTCACAGCGTCCATCTGGGGTGGAAACTTCGGCTGTGGATCAGGGTGACCTGGGCAACAGCCTGTCCCCTGGGGTGCCCGCAGGCCTCAGCCGCCATGGGTACCACGTGTGGCCCTCGGAATTGTGTCAACAGTCTTCCAGACTGTCTTACTTTACACAGCCCACACTGCTGCACATCACACACACACACACACACACACACACACACACACACACACACACACACAGTCCACACGAGAGCTCGACCGGGGGCTTTATTGCTCGCTATGATGTGCGCTGACCACCAGGGGGCAGCTCCTGCATTGAGCATCTGTCCTCGGATGGTGAGTGCGTGCCATGGGGAATGGTCCTTCCGCTACTCAGTAGATTTGCATGTTACCCTTTTGTTATAGAAGACCTTACTAGCAACTTTCTTGGAAGAGGAAAATTATCTAATTATCTCCATTGACATTAAAAAAGAACATCCGACAATATCTAACAGCTACTCCTGATAAAATTAAAATTACTCCGGCCTCGCAGTCGGACCCTAAACTGACACCCCTAGACCAAGGCCGAGTGTTCCGGGGGAGGCCTGGCCTGGCTGGCACCCCGAGGCCACCCGCCCCTGCACGCACCTCCAGGAAGCGTCTGGCATCGGGGTGGTCGGCCTCGGTCAGCATCAGGTTGTCCACGAACATCCAGAAGAAGGGCTGTGAGCTGCTGGGCGGGGGCCGCGCGTACTCCAGGATGCGGTGGTACTGGTAGATGTACCAACCTGGGGGACATCCCGGCGCATCTGGCTCTGCCCAGCGCAGGGGCACGGGCGAGGAGGTGGGGGGAGGGATGTGGGGGGAGGAAGGGGGGGTGGAGACTGCAGAGGGACCCGTTCCTCGGGGCCAGTGTGGGTCTGGGGCCCCGGTACCACACCTGCCCAGGGTAGTTCTGTCCCCCTAGGACTCGGTGTCGCCCGGTGTGGCCCAGTGTTAGTGTGCAGAGGCGGATAAAACGAGGCAGGGCTTGCAGGTGGAAGGGGCAGGACAGGGTTAGAGGGCCCAGGGGTCTGGGCTGTAGCGATGGCCTCCCAGGGGACAGCTGTCAGAACACATCACATCGTACTTGCCGAAGGGGGCACGTCACGGATGTCGGTGATGCCTCAGTGAGGCTGTTTTTATAAGATGCAGTCAGGGTGTGATTCCCGCCCTCTGGGAGAGGTGGTGGGCCATGGCTGGGGGGGGCGGGCGCCCAGGTATTGCGGCAGAGGGTGCTCTTACCCGGAGTGCGGCCGGAGGCCTGGCGGAGGGGAGGTGTGCAGCCGAACACGAGGTCGAACGGGCCCCACTCTTGCACCTGCAGGACACGGGACACGGGACAGGCATGCAGTGGGCGGGCCTGTCCTGCAGCAGGCTCCGTGTGCCCAGTGGTGGCACCACTCGGGTGGGCAGTGAAGCCGCCGGGTCAGACCCACCGGTGACCTTCTCAGTCACCCCTGGCCTCGGGACACTCGGGGCTGCCTGTCTGAAGAGGGGTGGGGTGGGCCCTCCCCATGTCACAGGGAGCCCGAGTGATGGCCCGTGGCAGGCGCCACCCTGCAGATCGCTCTGAGAACCAGTGCCCTGACCTCGGGCTCAGGGCCTTGCTGGAAGCTTCTAGGCACCTTGCCCAGGGCCACAGGCCAGGACGTCGGCGACAGCCCTCAAGGAGCCAGGACATTTCACGGTGGGGATGTTCGGGGATGCTTCCCATCGGCCGTGTTCGTTTTAGAGGGAGGGGTGGGGATTCGCCCTGTCTGGGCGGGACCAGCCCCTGGTGCTTCAGCAAGGTGGACAGAAGGCTTGGCCAATTGATTGCTCTGGGCTTGGCCAGTGTGGGGGCCACAGAAATGCCCCTCTCCTCTCCCACCGCAGGGCGAGCCAGTGCCAATTCCTGGAAGACCTCACGTCGGCCCAGCTGGGGGGCCAGAGGCAGCCGGCATGGGGCCGTCCGCATCCCCACTGTCCGCGTCCCCACCTGGGCCCGCGTGCACACCCGCTCCTGTCGAGGCCTGGACGGACACGGGTACTCACGCTCCTCCTCACAACGTCGGTGACATCGTCCAGGTACTTCAGTTTTGCCCAGCCGGCTCCGTTCTCCAAAAAGCCCAGGCTCGTCAGCTCTGGGTGGGGAACAAAGATGCAGAACATGTCGACTCTGAGCCCAACCGGGACCAAAAGGCCACGAGTGACCAGGGAGGCCACATGGGGACGAGGGGAGGAGTAAGCCGATTTGAGGAAGCCAAGCGGCTTGTGGAGGAGCCGCCTTCCTGGGCTGCGAAGTACAAATGGGCTCTGGGATGTGTCCTTGGCGGGAGAAGGCAGAGCAGCCATGGCCTGCCTCCCGGGTGCCTTCAGCGGTAAGCTGTGCCCACTGTGGGTCTCGGAGGCTGCAGTGACCACTGCTCGGGGGGTGGGGGAGGCAGTGCCAGAAGTGGGGCGGGATCCCCATGCCATTTGGTCTGGGACTAGGATGTATTTTCAGGCCTCTCCTCATGCCCGCAGACCCAGAAGGATCCGTTCTATGCAAAGGCACCAGCAGGGGGCGGATCCGTTCTATGCAAAGACACCAGCAGGGGGCGGATCCGTTCTATGCAAGGACACCAGCAGGGGGCGGTCAGCTCGAGAGGAGGCCCCCGGGGCGAGGCCGGAGCACAGCAGTGGAGCCCCAGGAGGGGCGGGCGGCCCTGCGAGGTGGCCAGGGGTGAGGCGGTATCTGAAGTGGACTTTGTGAGGTGGCCGTGGGCAGCGAGCCTGGCCGCACGGCCCTCATGGGCACCTTATACCCACCGTCTGCATTTTCTTTCCAAGGCTCGGCTTCTGAGAGAGCACCAGGGCTCCCACACCCTCTCCCAGCCCCCAAAGTGAGCCGCAGGCCCTGGAGTTGCCCCAGGTGCTCAGCAAGTGTGACACTGGGAACATTCTAACCCCCCTCCCCACACACACACACACACACACACACACACGCGCGCGCGCGCGCGCGCACGCACGCACACACACACACATATGCGCACACACATGCACATGCGCACACACACACATACGTGCACACACATGTACACACACCCCAGGACAGGCAGGCGCATCTTCCGGTGCGAGTCCTCCGGGCACCACCACTCACCTTTCCTGATGTCCCCAAAAAGGGACAGCACGCGGACTGGCTGTCTCTCCGCCACAGGTACTATTTTGTACATCTCCATGGGACTCTCCTGTTTATTAAAAAGAAATCAATGCTCTGGGCCAACGTGGCTAGAGCCGGTGAGTCACAGGGAGGCTCCTTCCTGGCCAGCAGGGGGTGCCCCTGAGCAGAGGCTCACCTGGGGCTCCCTGCAGACGCGGACCTGCCCGACCTCCCTTCGCACCCCCAGGCGCCCCCCTCCCCTCCCCAGGCCATCGCTAGCAAAGGCCTCCCGAGTGAGGAAGGCAGTCCGGTGGGGGTGGGGGGCACTCGCTGTGCATTTCTTGGGGAGAGCCCAGCATCAGGGGCTCCTGAATACACACAGCGGTGGGATCCACCCCATTCCTCTCTTCCCTGTGTGGGTGCGAGTGCAGCCCCAAGCCCCCCAGCACCCCTGATTGTCACTAGCAGGAGGTCCTCCCAGGCTGAGGAGGAGACCTGTGCCCTGGGCTCAGCCACAAAGAAGCCACACCGGAGACAAAGGATGATGCCTGCCCTGTCCAACCCTTCCCTTCCCTTCCCTTCCCTTCCCTTCCTCTTCCAGGACGTCCATTTGGAGAATTCCCCCCCCCTCCAGACCCCTGCCCCCAGGAAGCGCATGTGTGTGTGTGGGGGGGGGGGCGTGGGGGGGATTGGCCTCCTGCAAACAAGAAATCAAGCTGCCCACTGTCCAGACCAGGCCTGGGGGGGGGGGGGGGGGGTGTCTGCCTGTGTGGGAGGCTTGCAGGGGACCCCGAGCCACAGGAGGAAGGGCCTGCCTGGGCACAAACAGACAGCACAGCACCCGCACAGGCAGCGAGTGAATGAGCAGGGGAGTCTGGGCAGGGAGGTGTGCCCACGCCGATGAGTGTGGGCATTTTCGTGCAAAGTGCAAGTCCTCTGCAGCTGGCCGGCCTGGTCGTCCCACACTGAGATGGCCGGTTTCTGCCACCAGGTGAGCCATTGGGCACAGGGGCAGCTGTGACTGACGGACACTGTGGGGCACCTTGTGGGGTGCAGAGCGGCTGCCCCCTGCGACTGGCACCGGGCTGGCGTAGGCACATTTTCAAACGTGAACTTCATGTTCTTGCAAAGTCGTCCTGCAACTTGCAAGCCTGGGTTGTGGGACACCAAGATGGACAGTTCCTGCCACTAGGTGGCCCCGGAAGGAGGTTCTATGAGGAGGACAGGTGCCTGGTCTCCAAAAAGCGCCGTAGAGACCCCAGTCAAGGTGGTTGTAAATGCGCGCACGCCCCCAGCCGTGTCAGGGAGAGGCGGGACGGCATGCCTGCCTGTGCACCCTATGGGTAGGCCCAGCAATGCTGTGTGCAAGTCCTCAGAACCGGCTCTGGCTGTGGGCCCCTCCCGTCCACTGCTGCATGGCCAAGCGCCCCCCCCCCCCCCACCTTCGCTTCCCAGGACAACCACAACAAATGGGAATAAACTGGGTGGCCACCAATTACTCAGGAGGCCAAAGTCTTTAATCACCGTGTCAGCAGCCCTGGTCCCCGATGGGAGTCTGAGGGGGGCCCTGACCCAGGCCTCTCCCCAGCGTCTTGAGGGGCTGGCAGTCCTTGGAGTCTGGGCGTGTAGACCACACTCCAATCTCTACCCCCTCCCCCTAAGTCACATGGCTGTCCTCCCTCTGTGAGATCTATCTCCCTGTCTCCTCTCCTTCCTCTATCTGACACCAGTCACTGCATTCCAGACCCACCCTAATTCATCCCACTGTGATGAGTTCACTGCTCCTGCCTAGATCCTGGCCCCTGACCGTGACCTTCAGCCCTCAAGAGGCCCCGGTGGGGCTAGCCGGCTGCCCAGGCGTTTGTGCTCCTCTCCTACCTGCTACCAACACCTCATTCCCAGGCTCAGCACAAGCCCAGCCACCTGCTAACGTCATTGGAAAGCAGACCAGCTCGGGGAAGCTGCTGTCAAAGAGAAAGCACGTTTGCTCCTATGCCTTTCGCTTCACCTTGTACCAGAGCAGGCGGGCATTCTGCAACTGGTGGCCAGAGGAGGCCAGCAAAGCTGGGGCCCCCGGCAGCAGTCCGTCCCATCCGGTGAGCGGCTCCTTACCAAATCCTGGTCGTAGAAGGCCTTCAGCTGCTCCGGCCACTTCTTCCTGCTCTGCAGCAGCCCCTTGCAGGAGCAGGGCAGGCACAGGAAGCACACCCATTTACTCCTGGCCTGAACTTTCTCCGAGGCCCCGGGCCCCACCAGGGAGTCCACACACTCGAAGCAGTAGCACCTAGAGTCAAACAGAAAGCCGCAGCGACTGAGATGACAGCGCGTAAACCACGAACCGTCTGCAGGCCTAGGAGAGCCTGCCCCTCGCTGTGGAGCGAGCTCTCGGAGCCGAGTAACCCAGGCTCCTGTGAAAAGACGAAGTTGGCTGTTCATCTGCACCCCACTGTGTGCGAGACTGTGGACCAGAGTGTGTGTGTGTGTGTGTGTGTGTGTGTCAGGGATGGTCCCTCTTACAGGAACCAAGCCACCTGCAGAAGACAGTGGACAGATTTCAGAGAACCCCCTAAGCCACCTGCTTCCCCGACCCTGGAGCCTGGGACACAGTTAAGGTTTTCCAACACCAGTTTTGTGTTTTTTTGGGGGGATGGGGGTGGGGGGAAGAGGATGGCAAATGCAAGGATAGCCCTGGGGACTGAAAGGGGGGGGACTATGAATGGAGCTCATGTTGGCATGTAACTGGCATGTAACGAGGAATGAACATGTCCCTGCCTGTCTCCCCTCTTCCTCCCACCATGACCAAGAGTGCAGGGTGTCCACGCTCCGTAATGACTAGGGGAGCAGCTGCGATAACAATGTCTTGGTGATAACAAAAATAAAAAAAATAATTGAAAACACAAATCTTTTTTGACACCCAACCTCCTATATGTCAAGGCTTGACATCAAATGAAATATGTGAGATGGAGCCCTGACTGGTTTGGCTCAGTGGATAGTGTCAGCCTGTGGACTCAAGGGTCCCAGGCTCAATTCTGGTCCAGTCTAGGGCATGTACCTGGGTTGTGGGCACATCCCCAGTAGGAGGTGTGCAGGAGGCAGCTGATCGATGTTTCTCGCTCATCGATATTTCTAACTTTCTATCCCTCTCCCTTCCTCTCTGTAAAAAAATCAATAAAAATAGGTTTTTTTAAAAAAAAGAAAAAAAAAGAAAAAGAAAAATATGTGAGCTGGGAATTAAGAGCTTTGGAGAAAGTCATCCTTTGTGGGGGCACCCCCCCCCCCATTCTCAGGTGGGTGGCGGAGGAGAAGGGACACTTCCTGGGGCCTGGCCTTCACCGGCCCCGGGCGCCCCTGGCCTCACCGGGTGCAGTCGGGATTCTCGCAGATGAGCAGCGTCTGTCCAGCGCAGCAGATGGAGCAGTAGGACTGGCACCCGTCGTCGTCATACATGAAGAAGTAGTCCCGGAACTTGTCCTTGGAGAGGGCAAAGCAGCCAGTGCCCCCGCTGCTCCCCTCCCGATACCTCCCGGCCGCCCCTCGGCTCCCGGCTTACCTTGCAGGGGAAGCACATCCCGCCCTTGAACAGGGGGTGCTGCGTGTGCACCTCGAAGCTCCCGCAGCAGATGCACAGCTCTGAGGGGACAGCCAAGGCCCAACGACACCGTCAGACAGAGCCACAGGCTCGGGAACACATTTAACAAAAAAGGTACAAGACCCCTGCACTGCGGACCACAAAGCCCGGCTGAAGGAAAACTCTAGATAACCGGGAAACTGCGCCCCAGGCCCATGGTGTGAAGTCTGATCAAATGATTGATCTGGCCTTCGGGCCACCGCACGAGGACATTCCCTCTTTGCTCAGACCACATTCCACTGGTGAAGAGACCATTATCTCTCCCCTGGAGGACCTTCCTGGGACCTGGCCCCGCCCAGAGAATTCCTTGCCCAGGAAAGGCCTGCCTACAGCCCTTAACAATCTGACTCCCCGTCCCATCCCGTCCCGTCCAGCCCTGGGTGCTGGCGCCATTTTGGGGCTCTGCCTATCTGATATCCCAAGGACCTAATACATTCATAATCCCTCACCACTTAGGCCTCATGTGTTCCTTCAGTTTCCCTAACACCATGGTCGGCAAACTCATTAGTCAACAGAGCCAAATATCAACAACACAAACAATTGAAATTTCTCTGGAGAGTCACATTTTTTAAACTTAAACTTCTTCTAACGCCACTTCTTCAAAATAGACTCGCCCAGGCCGTGGTATTTTGTGGAAGGGCCGCATGTGGCTGAGAGCCGCAGTTTGCTGACCACTGCCCTAACACATGGGTCAGACGGGGAACACTGTTAAAATGACGTGCCTGCCCAAACTCATCTACACATCCCACTCGAAATCCCGGCCGGCTTTTGTGTGCGCGTACGCAAGTTGACAAGCTGATCCTGAACTGCGTATGGAAATGCAGGCTCCAGAATAGGCAAAGCCGAAGAGAAAATGAGATTTGTGATTGCCTAATGTGGAAGGGGGAAGTGAGAAGGAATGGGAAATGGCTTGGGACTGGGTTTTCTTTTCTTTTTTTTTTGGGGGGGGGGGGTTGGGAGTGATAAAATGTTGTAAATTAGGTGATAGTTGCACAATTCTGGGAATGTAAGATACTGAACTGTGTGCCTTCGATGGAGCCATGGGGGCTGGGCCTGTGGAGGGAGAGGACTAGCGAGGCCCGCGGCCTGCCCTGGATGGGGCCCGTGGGTGGCTGCAGCTGGCGGGTCCCTTTACCTGGGGGGTGGGCACGCGTGCGACCACTCACCTTCTATGTCTCGCCCGTTGACCCTGACTTCATAGATAATCAGATCTGGAAAAGAAAGCTAAGTGGGGCCTTCCTTCTGCTACCCGCCTGCAGTCTGAACACAGCCTGAGTGCGTGCGTCACAGTTGATTGTCTGAAGCCACAGGGGCCAGCGGACCCCACCCCCACCCTCATCCCCACCCCACCCCAGCCCTCAACCTATCTTTCCTGGAATGTTACCCACCCAAGCTGGAGGGTGCGGCCCTCCAGGCCCTGCCTTAGGATCTGATTTAGGCGTGAATATCCGAGAAGCCTGGAGCCCAGGCCTGGGGCTGGCATCCCGAGTGGTGGGTCCAGCACCCAAAGGAGCCCTCACCTTTGCAGGGCTCAGGCGAGGGGGTGGACGACTTCTCGCTGGAGCCCACCACGATGATGTCCACGCTACACTCTGCCTCCGGGTCCATGGCGGGGGCAGCTGCCGGGGGACACGGCCCAGGGGGCAGGACAGGCACAAACGGGGGGAGAAAATGGCCCCTCGGTCACTGCCTTGGAGCCCCTGGCCCCCAGCAAGGGGGACGGGGTCCAGCACCCAGCTCAGCCCCCACCCACCTTCCACAGTGACACCCACCCCTCCCAGCCCTGGGAAAGGCCTTCCTGGCAGGGAGGCGGTGGTGAGTGCCCACCTCGAGAGGGAGCTTGGTGTGGCCCCTGTGCCCGGTCCCTCCCCACCTCTTCTCCCCACAAAGGGAGGACGTTGGAGGGGTCCAGAGCTAAGTCCCACGCAGCCTCCCCCTCCCTCTGCACCCACCAGCAGCTGTGGGCCCCACGGCCACTCCCGTGCTCCCGCCCGCGTGTCCCCAGATCTGCTGGACGCTCAAGGCAGGAGGTGAGGGAGGAGGAGGAAGGGACTCACGGATTTCGCAGGGCGGCTGCCCCGGCTCCTCTTCCAGCTGCCCGGCGGGCTCCAGGCGCAGGGTCCCAGGGGAGGAGAGGGCCATGGGGCCAGGGGAGGGGGCCTCCCAGGAACCCGCAGGAAGCAGGTCAGGTGGGAGGCCTGGGGGTCATTGGGTGTGGGGGCGCAGGGTCCCCCAGACGTGCGGGGGAGGGGTGAGCAGCCTCCTGTGGGAAGGGGTGTTGGGTGAAAGGGAGAGTGGCTCCCGCAGGCAGCTTATATGGGTGGGTGGGATAGAAGGTTCCGGAAGGGAGGAGGGGAGAGGAGGTGGGGTGGGGTTAAGTGCCCAGTGGGAGGGAAGGGGCTTGGGGGCAGGGGGAGGGGTTCTGTAAAGGGATGCTGAGCGAAGTCTGGAGTTGGGTGGTGGGTTCAGGCCTGGAGCCCAGTGGGGGAGGGGCGTGGCACTCCGGGGCGGGGCTTGGGGGGGGCTCATGCTCCGGGCGTGGGTGGGGGCAGGGCTGGAGGAGGAGGGGAAGGGAGAGAGGAAGGAGGAGGAGGAAGGAGGAGGAAAAAGGGCAGGAAGAGGGGTTCCTTGTAGGACCGAGGTGAGGAAGAAGGATCGAGGAGGCTTTTACCTGGATGGGATGGGCCTAATGGCAGGCAGTGGGGGGTGGAGGGAGGGATTGGGGGGGTCTCAGGTCCCCTTTGGGTGCCGGCTGGCCCGGCCTCGTGACTTCCCCTGACTAACACCTCTGCCAGGTGACCAAGGACAACATCAACAGTGACAAGTTGGGCCGAAACCGGTTTGGCTCAGTGGTAGAGCGGACTGAAAGGTTCCGGGTTCGATTCCGGTCTGGGGCTTGTACGTTGGTTGCGGGCACATCCCCAGTAGGGGGTGTGCAAGAGGCTGCTGATCGATGTTTCTCTCTCGTCGATGTTTCTAGCTCTCTATCCCTCTCCCTTTGTCTCTGTAAAAAAATCAATAAAATATATATTTTAAAAAATAATGCTGCAATGAGTATGGGGGTGCAGATATCTTTTCCTGTTAGTGTTTTTGTTTTTTGTTTGTTTTTTGGATAATTATCCAGAAGTGGCATGCTGGGTCTTATGGTAATTCTATTTTTAGTGTTTGAGGAATCTCCATACCTTTACTCACAGTGACTGCACCAATTTATATTCTCAGCAGCAGTGCATGAGGGTTCCTTTTCTCCACATCCTTGCCAATACTTACTTTTTGACTCTTTTGGGTAGTAGCCATTCTGATAGGTGTGAGATGATAGCTCCTTGTGGTTTTGATTTACATTTCCCTGATGATGAGTGATGTCGAGCATGTTTTCATGTGCCTGTTGGCCATCTGTATGTCTTCTTTGGGAAAAATGTCTACTTACATTCTCTGCTTATTTTTTATTGGATTTTCCCCATGAGTCCTTTATATATTTTGGATATTAGCTTCTTATCACCTATATTATTTGTAAATATCTTCTCTCACTCATTTTGTTTTATGTATGTGTTTTTCATTTCTGGGTTCTCTGTTCTGTCCCACTAATCTGTGTCTGTTTTTATGCCAATGCCACGCTGTTGTAACTACCAAAGCTTTGTAATGTAGTTTGAAATGAGGGAGTATGATGCCTCCAGCTTTGTTCTTTCTTAAGATTGCTGTGGCTATTTGGGGGTTTTTGTGGTTCCATACAAATTCTAGGATGGTTTTTCCTATTTCTGTAAAAAATGTCATTTGAATTTTGATAGAGGTTGCACTGAACCTGCAGATTGTTTTGGATAGTATGGATGCTTATAACAATATTACCTCTTTCAACCCATAAATATATTTAATATATACTGTATATAATACATATTAAATACATACTATACTTAATGTATGATGTAATATATATAAATTATTTAGAATATAGAGTCAAGTTAATTCACTATTTTTTAAAAGTGGAGAGAAGAGAATTTTTTTTTTTTTTTGTAAGAGTATATTTGAGCCAAACTGAGGACATATGCCAGAGCAATATCCCAGATATTGAAAACACTTTGCAGGTTTCTTTTTTCTTGATCAACTTTTTTATTCATTATTTTTTAATTGTTTTTAATTTTTCAATTACGGTTGACATACATTATTAGTTTCAGGTGTACACCCAGTGATTAGACACAACGTTCATAATTAAGTGGTCATTCTGATAAATCTCACATCCACCTGGCACCATGCATAGTTATCGATACAATATTATTGACTATATTCCCTGTGCTGTACTTTAACATCCCATGACCATTCTGTAACCATTAATTTGTATTTCTTAATCCCTTCAGCTTTTACACTTACCCCCTCCCCCAACCCTCCTGCTATCTGGCAACATGCTCTCAATGAGTCTGTTTCTGCTCTGCTTGTTTATGTGTTTTGCTTTTTAGATTAAATTGTTGATAGATGTGCTCGTATTGCCATTTTAATGCTCATATTCATTGTCTTCTCCCCTTTTTCTTTTTTCTTCTAGACCCGCTAACATTTCATATGATATTGGTTTGGTGGTAATGATCTCCTTTAGGTTTTCCTTGTCTGGGAAGGTCTTTGTCCTTTGATTCTAAATGATAGCTTTGCTGGGTAGAGTAATTTAGTTTGTAGCTCCTTGCTTTTCATCACTTTGAATATTTTGTGTCACTCCCTTCTGCCCAGCTGGTTTCTGTTGAGAAATCAGCTGACAGTCTGATGGGAGCTCCCTTGTAGGTAACTAACTGCTTTTCTGTTGCTGCTTTTAAGATGTTCTCTTTGTATTTAACTTTTTGCATTTTAATTAGGAAGTGTCTTGGTGTGGGCCTCTTTGAGTTCATCTTTTTTGGGGCTCTGTGCTTGCTAGACTTGTGTATCTATTTCTTTCACCAGGTTAGGGAATTTTTTTGTCATTTTTTTCAAACAGGTTTTCAATTTCATGCTCTCTCTCTCTTCTTCCAGCACCCCCATGATGCAAATATTGATACACTTGAGGTTGTCCCAGAGGCTCTTTACACTATTCTTGTTTTCTTTTCTTTTTATATTTTTTATTCTTTTTGCTGTTCTGATTGAGTGTTGTTGTTGTTTTTTTCCTTCACTTCCTTATATTCCAAATTGCTGGTTTGGATCTCAACTTCATCTACTCGACTGTTGATTCCCTGTAGATTATGCTTCATTACAGTTAGTGTATCCTTTATTTCTTACTGATCCTTTTTATGCTATTAAGGTTCTCACTAAGTTCAGCAAGCATCCTTATAACCAGTGTTTGAACTCTGCATCTCGTAGATTGCTTGCTCCATTTTGTTTAGTTCTTTTTCTAGAGTTTTATTCTCTTCTTTCATTTGGGACATATTTCTTTATTTCCTCCTTTGGCAGCCTTCTGTGTTTGTTTCTGGGCACTAGGTAGAGCTGCTAGGTCTCCCAGGCTTGGTAGAGTGGCCTAAGGTCATAGGTGCTCTGTAGGATCCAGTGGCACAGCCTTTCTAATCACCCAAGCTGGGCCCCCCGATGTGCACACACACCCCACCCCACCCCCACGCCCGTGTGGACTGTGTACACCCTCCTCTTGTAGTTGAAACTTGATTGCTGTTGGCATATCAATGGGAGGGACTTACCCGTAGGCTAATGAGCTGCAAGGACTGGCTGTGCCCATCGACCAGTGTGGAGGATCAGCTGTGTAGGGCCCACCCCACAGAGCAGGACTAGCTTCAATGGGGCTCCGGTGCCCTCTGAGGCCACCCCGTGAGTGTGTCATTTGTAGAGAAGGTTGGGTGCTGACGCTTGGACATGGTCTGAAGCTGCCCACTGGGTGCACTGGCTCTGGGAAGCCCCAGCCAGACCCCAGCTGCTCTGTGATTCTGCTCTTTGTTCCGTGTCCTGTGTTTCTGCACCAGGCTTTTCTGGATGCCAACTATTTGTGGCTTGTTTTGTTTTTAACCCCCTTGGCAGAGGGAGCTCCTGCTGCAGTCCTGGTGCTGACTGAACCACATGATGATGGAGAGATGAGTGTCTTCCCAGCACCCTATTGTCTGGGCTCTGGATGAAGGGGCTGGTAGCGGAGAGGCCACTGAGGGCCAAGGCTGGATGGGGAAGCTCCATGCTGGATGCTGACCTGGTAGAAGGAAGAGGTGGACTGATGGGTTGCTGGTTCAATTCTTGATCAAGGAACATGCCTGGGTTTTGGGCTCATCCCCAGTGGGGCGTGTGCAGGAGGCAGCTGATCGATGTATAGCTCTCATATCGATGTTTCTCTCTTCTCCCTTCCTCTCTCTCTAAAAATCAATAAACTTAAAAAAATAGAATTTAAGAACTAATTAATTTTAAGAGCTGATTTATTAAATTAATTTTATTGTGGGAATACGCACATAACATAAAATTTGCCATTTTGATCATTAGAAAGTTTAAAATTCAGTAACAATTGGTACACCACAATGTTGTGTAACCATCACTACTATTTCCAAAATGTTTTCATCACCCCAATGGAAACCCCATAGTTATTAAGCAGCCCCCCTTTTTCCCTACCCCCCAGCTCTTGGAAACCAATAATCTGCTTTCTCTCTCTATGGATTTGCCTCTTCTGGGCATTTCATATGCATGGAATCATATAATAGGTTACCTTTATGTCCGACTTATTTCATTTAGCATAATATTTCAGGGTTCACCACGTTGTAGCATGTATTAGAATTTTGTCTCTTTTTTGGCTGAATATATTCTATTGCAGGGCTGGACCATATTCTACTTAACCATCCTCCTGTAGATGGACATTGGGTTGTTTTCCTCCCTACACACACACACACACACACACACACATACACACACACCCCCTTTTGGCTGCTGTGATAGTGCTGCTGTGAACATGCATATACATGTGTTTGCATGCTTTCAGTTCTGTGGGGTGTACACTCGGGAGTGGAATTGCTGGGTCCTAGGGTAGCTCTATGCTAACTTCCTGCGGAACTTGCAGGGGAGGACAGAGGCCTAGAAGTGGCCTGCCAAGCAGCAGGCATGTCGCTGCACCCAGTGCCTCGTGGAGAAACTGAGGCTCAGCCCCACGAAGGCAGTGACCCAGGCCCTGGCTCCAGGCTCCTCTCCCCTCTGTGGGTCACGCAGGCCACCGTCAC